CTTATGCCTTTAAATATACTTAGATTTTATTTATCATCTTTCCCTTGACTTCTGGGTATAAAAGATGAGGATATCAGCATGTTTAAATTACTTCCCATCTTCTCTTTCCCTTCCCATTTACCCACCAGTTTGTAACATTTACCTTCTGTTTTATAGTCATTGTCCCTACATTTGTTTTCATTTTAGTCCTGTAGTTAAATAGATTATAGGCACATTACCTGTCCTTTTGTTATAGTTTTTCTTTTCATCTCTTGAATGGCATGAGTTCAGAAATGTTTGTCTTTTACCTTTATATTTGATTAATAATTTAGGCATAAAATTATTTGGAGTTACACGTTTTCCTTCCTTAAGAATATCGTAGGTATTTATTCTCTTATAGTACTAAATGTACTAGATGTTGCCGTGGAAAACTCTGAGGCTATCCTGATATCTTTTCACCTTATTTGTTGCTTGCTTGATATTTTTGCTTGGTGCTCAGTTGACTTTTTTTCTTCAGTCTTTGAAGCCTAATAGGTTTATCAGAATATGTCTCACTTTTGATAACTCCTTGTCATCACATGTCAGTCCACTTATATTTCTGGAAACTTTTCTTGAATTATTTGAGAAAAAAATTTTTTTGTTTTATTATTTTAAATCCCTTCTTTAGGGAAACCAGTTATACATGTATAGGATCTCTTTTGACTGTCTTTCATACATATCGTTTTCCCTCTAATCATTTTTTACTTTTTCCTCATTTCCATTTTATTTGCTTTGCTTTTCTCTATATCCTTTAATATGTTTTCAGCAGTATCTTTTCTATGTGCTGCTTTCAGATATGGTCTGCAGTGATTTTTTTTAATTGATAATTCTTTGGAGTATGACAAGTGTTATGATTATGTTTTAAAGAGCCCCTATCTTGCAGAGATACATTCTGAAATATTTACAGAAGAAATAACCTGATGCCTGAGATCAGCTTCAGAATAACCAGGAATGGGGCAGGACGGGTTGTGGGTGGTTGGTAGTCAGAGTTCTACCTGGGTACACGGTGCTTCGTTACACTAGTTTGTGATCTGTTGCCTGTGTTCGAAATTCTTCCTAATTCATAAAAGTGTAAAAGCGAAAGGAACTTGGCAAAGTCTGACTTCCACTCCCACCCAAACTTTTCCCCTTGGGCCAACCCCACAATTTGGAAGGCACTCATGTCCGAATTATTCCTGCTCTCCCAGCTCCGTGCAAAAATAGCACCAGGCGAGGTCTGAGGCAAGGGAAATGCTTTAATGGGGGGTCTGATCGGTGGCATCGTGCTCCTCAATGGCTCAGGAACTTGTGGCCCTTGAGCATGTGGTGGCAAAGGGCAACCTAGACGCCAATTGGCGTGCTCAGGTGCCAGATCCAGCCTGCTTGCGCTTGCATTTGATGTTGCTGGGCTGATATTCCTTCCTGCTGTGGGGCAGGGAGGCCCCTGGCGCCTGGGAGTCCTAGCCAGGCCCAGCAGCGCCAAACCTACCCCTGGGGCCCAACAGCCATCTGGCCAAGATATCCTATCCAGCCGCCT